TGTAAACTGCTAAGATGACGTCATTTATATCCGGGATTGCTTTGCAAACTCCACACAACAGACTGTCCCAGCTTTTCTCCTGCTTTCTCCCGATGCAATTCATACATTACTCGGAGATTACTGTCAAACGTTCCAAGTTTTACAATTTTAGCATGTTTATAATACGATCTAATTCCTGCCAGTATCAATGAATAAATCTATTGACCAACAGATTGGAAATATGTATTCCAGCGATACCCTCATTTTGACGAAAGAATGGTACAAATATGTCCACTATTTATCGAGATATCGTGTACAAAAATTGAGGAAAGACATCGCTTAAGAAATTTCTATTTCTAGACTGAACTGTTCACGCTCGCAAGTGGCATCTCCATCTCCATATATGGGCAAAAAGGTGGAGTTAACAATAAGCAATGCAGGGATTGACAGGATTGACACGAAGAAGTCTCGATGAATCTCGCTTAAACTCCGCCCCTTCTTCGTGAAAAATCACGTGAATTCCGGCTTTTGCTGGGACATATCCGGGCATCTCGGCTTCGAACCCAATCAGAAGTTTCAATTTTGACTGGCGCCGCATACATTATCTCAAGTCTCACCCAATATTTTTATGTATACGTTAACAACTTTATAATGCCTAATCTCTGAGAGAAAATTAATTGTCCTTTACTGTAACCATAATTTAAAACATCAGTTACCATTTTACCAATTAATGGCCAAAATGTTTGATAGAATTCAACAGTTAATCCATCTTGCCCTGGAGATTTATTAAGCTTCATGCTAAAAATAGAATTTTTTGCTTCATCATAAGTAAGCTCTCCTTCACAGAGATCTGCTTCCTCTTTAGTTAATGCTCGTTTAATATTAGTATTGTCTAAATAATTTTTGATTTTATCCTTTTGTATATTTTTTGAAGTATAAAGGGTTTTATAGAAATTCTCCTGCATTTGTAATATTTCATTCTGATTACTGACTACAGTTCCATCAGGGCGTTTTAAATTATATATTGTTTGATTCTTCTGTTGGTGTTTTTCAAGGCCAAGAAAAAGATTTGTGTTACGTTCACCTTCCTCTATCCACTGTACACGTGACCGTATTTGGGCAGCTTTCGCTTCATACTCAAGTAAAGTATTATAACGAAGTTGATATATATCATTATCATTACAATTACTAATCTTATTAAGTAAAAATTGTTTCAGTTTTTTACGTGTTTTTGCTTTATGCTTAGCATACTTGATAGATTCCTCCCTTATTTTTACCTTAAATAACTCCCATTGATCTCCACAGTCAAGAGAAACATCTGGCTGAGAAAATATATTAGTTATCAAGAATTTGAAATTATTGTCTTTAAGTAGACTATTGTTTAGTTTCCAAATACCACTACCCTTAGCAGGGCAAGATGACAGTTTTAAGCATATTGCCTGGTGGTCACTTTTATAGCTAGCTCTGATATCACATAATTTAACTTGTGACATAAAAGAATCAGATATCAAAAACATGTCTAATCTACTTTTCATAAAAGGAGTTTTTTGTCTATATGTAAAATGTTTTAGATGAGGATGTAAATCTCTCAATATATCCTTTAAATTGTTGTTTTTCATTAATTTATGAATTTTGTTATTTTTGATAACTGAGTTAGGTAGTTTTTTAAAGATGTTGATTTAAGAGCAAAAAAGGCTCCAAAACTTAATGAAACATGTAGTTTGGATGTTCATTTATGTCTGTGGATTATATTTTATACCACAAACACTTTATAAATACCTGAAATTTGCAATAAAAGTGCCCAAAAATTGTTGTTTCGAAATTCCCCATTTTTCCTGTATCGCGCAAGTCACGTGACCATTACGCGTAGCAGTCAATGTACAGATATTACAGTACATATAATATGTTCAATATGGCAAACATCAGCGATTCTGATTCCCGGGTTCTGGGAAATGACTATATAAATCGGCGAGAGGGTGTAATTTGAATGAAGACAATTTAAGGAGGGGAAATGTGTGCAAGTATGGCAGTAAGAGAGCAGATATGGGGACTTTAAACAAGAACTAGGCCTATGACGGAGAATCAACTAAAAATGTGAGTTCTAGAATGAAGACCCGTTGCCATTGACTGAAGATTCCAGCGATCCTATTATCATACTCAGTTTGAATCTAGACGCGGAAAACAGATTATGAAAACAGGTTTTCTGCAAAGTTATCAAATTTAGAAGATATGGATCTTGTTTTTGAGTGGCTTAACAAGCATTTAGATACCAGACTTGGCGCTATCTCTTGTCAAATACATGCACTGGACTTGCAGTAAATTGGCCATTGCAAATTGCAAAATCAGATCGTCAAATTAATCGCTTCGTTTTTAAACCTACGCTTCATATCTTCTTTCAAAACTTTAGGATTCGATAGAGATAAGTTATAACTTGTACAGGAAAAAATGGCAGATCCTACCTTAATTTAGAATCGCTGATTTCTCTGGACAAATTCCGAGAAGAAATTGTTCAACATCGCGATCACCCCAGACAACATGTCGCGTGCGTGTCACTCTGAACTCACGTGATAAAATACGGCATCTTGATTGGTTACTACTCGTGTTGTCATGACGTGAAAAGCAGTAGTAAACACTGAATATGTTAATGAACTGCCATATATGGAACAATTGTCTTTCTGATTGGTTAACTTTACACGCCTCCTAAATGAATATAGTAGTCGTAGTAAATGATTCATTGATAACTCTGAAAGTGGGCGTGACCAGCTTCATTTTGACACCAAATTCAAGATATTTCAAATCAAAATGGCCTCGCAAGACGAGGTTGAAATATCAGTAATTTGAAACTGATATGGTCTACGATAGATCAAAATTGACTGCCCTGCGTCACATGTCACGTGAGCCTATATTTGTTGAAAAATGAAAGAGATAGTGACACTTTTTAATCTTAAGTTTATACCAATATTACAAACACATATCTATTTTTTTCATTATATATTTATTTCTTCATAATACATACATTTGTTTTATACTACATTGATTTATTTTTGCAAAACCTTTGCTATTAGATCTTTAAGACGTTGTCTATCCATTTCGGGATTGACAACTGTATTAAAATCATCACCTATGATTATTTCACCAAGTGCATGTTCATTAATAACTTTGTCAAGTTTAGTTAAAAATAAATTGCGGTCTTTTTCCACATTTGGGGCATATACATTTATAAGAGTGAAAATTTCTTTTGAAATTTCAATATTAGTCAAAATGACTCTTCCATCATGAAATGAAAATGTATCTATAACCTCTAATTGAGCACCATTTTTAATAAATATACTAACACCACATGATTTATTGTCCTTAAATGAGTGTAAAATAGAATGTCCACTCCATTCATTTTCAATTGTGGGAACTAAATCTAAAGTAAAATGAGTCTCTTGAAGAAATAAGATTGAGCAATGCTGTTGATTGGCCCAGTGAAATAAAGTTTTTCGCTTTGCAGCGTCTCTCAAGCCATTGGCATTTAAAGAGAGAATATTAAGCTCAGGTTTGTTAGTAGTCATTTTTTATTTGTTTTTTTGTTGTTAATTTTATTTAAAATACTGCTTGTAAATAACTCGAATGTCAATTTTGCCTTTATTCGAAAGTGGAAACAATGGTGTTGTCTCTTGAATAGCTTTGTGTGTTATACATGTTATAGTCGCTCACCTCTGACATGTTCCCCCTTCCCTACTGTTATATATCATTTTGGGTATTCTTTAATTTAGCATCTACACAATAGTTTTTGACTAAACAATACTAGACAAATATTTAATTCCATCGAGGCGAATACCTGTGCATCTTTCACAAGTTGTATTCCATGAAATGTGAAATCATCTTGTGAAAGTGTCACAGGTATTCACTGAAAATAGAATAAAATTTTGTTTTATTATTCAGTGTTATATTTCTCACCCACATTATGGAATAACAAACAAGGGCTATAAAAAAATTGAAATTACACGGGACTATAATTGTCCTGACTCAGATGAATATTATACAAATATTTAATTCTACTGAGGTGAATACCTGTGCATCTTTCACAAGTGATATTCCACGAAGCACGAAGGGCTAGTGGAATATCATCTTGAGAAAGTGTCACAGGTATTCACCGAAAATAGAATTAAATATTTGTTTTATTATATCACTGTCATAACATCTTCTATAACTAACTAAGTCATATGTTAACATTGAAATACATTTATATTTCTTCTAACAATATAACAATAAATACAATAAATATCAACTACCAAATTGTATAAGTCATGGCCGTTGAAAATCATTTGACATGTTTGATATTCAACGGAAGTCATGGTCATGTGATTTCCATTGCCTTTTATACAACTATTTTTAATTCCATTGAGGTTAATACCTGTGCATCTTTCATAAGTGATTTTCCGCGAAGCCCGAGGATATATCAGATAAAATTTGAATATCGCTTGTCATTTTTTTAGTCACGTGTAGGACATGGACCAATCAGAGAGTGAGGAATATGACAGTGAAATAACAAAAAATCTCTTGTCAACTCAATGCTATTTAATTTTATAAAATGTGGATAGCAATCAACATGTTCAATATTAAAACTTCGGAAGAATGATTAGTTTAAAAAGTAGCGGCAAAACTGTGTATATTTAGTAAAAGGGGTCCTATAACATTGGCTAGCTAGTTTAATGCATTAACTTTGTGGATTTCCCCGATAAACTTTACAGCTGATACACAATGATGAACTCAGTTAGATCAGTTAAATGTTGGTGTATTTTAGACATCCTTGCAGCAAGGGTATATAGTATTTTATATACACTCACTTCCTCCTGATAAATAGACATACGCCCCCCCCCGGATATCACTGATGTTTATATTGTTGTAATAAATAAAACAAATTACAATTAGTAGCATTAGTAGGGAATAATCCAGTCAACTCATCATATACAAGAAAACACTAAAATTGAAATGTTAAAAGATTTGTTAAACGTTAAGTCAGTTTTACTTACCCAAAAGTTGGCCACAATTATTGCAAATGTAAACAGCTTTTCAATCCACATTTTAAAACGGTCCGGTATAAATTCAGAAGTTTGGATGATCCCAATGAAAGTTAAACCGCGTGTTCAATTTATCTCAATATGTTCTCACCAACTTCAAATAAAAATTCTGCATCCAATTTCCGTAAGTCTACTTAAATTCTCTCTGGAAATCATCTAATGTATGATTATATAAATTAACCGCATAATCTAGTTTCATTTGATTTATATAAATGAATAATGACTTGTTTCCGACATTTTATCTAGTCATAAAGTACTGACACTGAATATTATTGAGAAGATTTCAATTTTCCTGACAATTTGATGTTAATGAGCTTTTCAGGAAAAATAATTGTACGTTGTTATATTATGGGTGTCAGCAGGGTGCAAAGAATAGCAAAGCTAATACTTCAAAGGTTACGTTTGAATTAGGTTAAGATCAAATAAATAATCCTCAATAAATACTTGTGGTATAATATCACTTAATCTTTTCACCTTTATTCTGTGTCTATTACATTTACTGAAATTACTGACTCAACAATTTACAATTATTTTATCTAGTAGTCGTTTATGTTTAATATTTCATTAAAATGCAAAAAACTTATTGAGGTTCAAATACACGAGTCAGTCAGGAAGTAAATAAAAAAGGGAAATTAAATTGTTCACAAATTATAATTATTTAAAGAGAAAATAATGTTTAATAGCGACATCTTTAAGATCTGATTCTTACTAATGTGACTGTGCGCGCATGCGTATTAATTTCATTGAAGCATGCATACTTAGTCCGATTTGAGAAAACTTTTTCCACACCCTTCCACCGAATTTTTGGGACATTTTCTGCATTGTCTTTTTGCATGTGTGCATTACATATATTGACACCAAAAGGCATTTAAAAGTATAACATCATATATGAAAGTGTAATTTGTAATAAAATCTCTAGGACTTATTTACATATGGGTATCAAAGTATTTACATATACCAGCATCGTACAATGCACATATGAAACATATATGCATGGCTGTATGCTGTATTTACATGTACCAGCATCGCACAATGCACATATGAAACATATATGCATGGCTGTATGCTGTATTTACATGTACCAGATCGCAAAATGCACATATGAAACAGGTATGCATGGCTGTATGCTGTATTTACATGTACCAGCATCGCAAAATGCACATATGAAACAGGTATGCATGGCTGTATGCTGTATTTGCATGTACCAGCATCGCACAATGCACATATGAAACAGGTATGCATGGCTGTATGCTGTATTTACATGTACCAGCATCGCACAATGCACATATGAAACAGGTATGCATGGCTGTATGCTGTATTTACATGTACCAGCATCGCAAAATGCACATATGAAACAGGTATGCATGGCTGTATGCTGTATTTACATGTACCAGCATCGCAAAATGCACATATGAAACAGGTATGCATGGCTGTATGCTGTATTTACATGTACCAGCATCGCAAAATGCACATATGAAACAGGTATGCATGGCTGTATGCTGTATTAACATGTACCAGCATCGCAAAATGCACATATGAAACAGGTATGCATGGCTGTATGCTGTATTTACACGTATCAGTATCGCACAATGCACATATGAAACAGGTATGGGTGGCTGTATGCTGTATTAACATGTACCAGCATCGCACAATGCACATATGAAACAGGTATGCATGACTGTATGCTGTATATACATGTACCAGCATCGCACAATGCACATATGAAACAGGTATGCATGACTGAATGCTGTATTTACATGTACCAGCATCGCAAAATGCACATATGAAACAGGTATGCATGACTGAATGCTGTATTTACATATACCAGCATCGCAAAATGCACATATGAAACAGGTATGCATGGCTGTATGCTGTATTTACACGTATCAGTATCGCACAATGCACATATGAAACAGGTATGGGTGGCTGTATGCTGTATTTACATGTATCAGCATCGCACAATGCACATATGAAACAGGTATGCATGGCTGTATGCTGTATTAACATGTACCAGCATCGCACAATGCACATATGAAACAGGTATGCATGGCTGTATGCTGTATTTACATGTACCAGCATCGCAATGTGCACATATGAAACAGGTATGCATGACTGAATGCTGTATTTACATGTACCAGCATCGCAAAATGCACATATGAAACAGGTATGCATGGTTGTATGCTGTATTTACATGTACCAGCATCGCACAATGCACATATGAAACATATATGCATGGTTGTATGCTGTATTTACATGTACCAGCATCGCAATGTGCACATATGAAACAGGTATGCATGGCTGTATGCTGTATTTACACGTATCAGCATCGCACAATGCACATATGAAACAGGTATGCATGGCTGTATGCTGTATTTACACGTATCAGTATCGCACAATGCACATATGAAACAGGTATGGGTGGCTGTATGCTGTATTTACATGTATCAGCATCGCACAATGCACATATGAAACAGGTATGCATGGCTGTATGCTGTATATACATGTACCAGCATCGCACAAATGCACATATGAAACAGGTATGCATGGCTGTATGCTGTATTTACATGTACCAGCATCGCAATGTGCACATATGAAACAGGTATGCATGGCTGTATGCTGTATTTACATGTACCAGCATCGCACAATGCACATATGAAACAGGTATGGGTGGCTGTATGCTGTATTTACATGTACCAGCATCGCACAATGCACATATGAAACAGGTATGCATGGCTGTATGCTGTATTTACATGTACCAGCATCGCACAATGCACATATGAAACAGGTATGGGTGGCTGTATGCTGTATTTACATGTATCAGCATCGCACAATGCACATATGAAACAGGTATGCATGGCTGTATGCTGTATATACATGTACCAGCATCGCACAAATGCACATATGAAACAGGTATGCATGGCTGTATGCTGTATTTACATGTACCAGCATCGCAATGTGCACATATGAAACAGGTATGCATGGCTGTATGCTGTATTTACATGTACCAGCATCGCACAATGCACATATGAAACAGGTATGGGTGGCTGTATGCTGTATTTACATGTACCAGCATCGCACAATGCACATATGAAACAGGTATGCATGGTTGTATGCTGTATTTACATGTACCAGCATCGCAATGTGCACATATGAAACAGGTATGCATGGTTGTATGCTGTATTTGCATGTGCCAGCATCGCACAATGCACATATGAAACAGGTATGGATGGCTGAATGCTGTATTTGCATGTGCCAGCATCGCACAATGCACATATGAAACAGGTATGGATGGCTGAATGCTGTATTTACATGTACCACCATCGCAAAATGCAAATATAAAACAGGTATGGATGGCTGAATGCTGTATTTACATGAACCACCATCGCACAATGCACATATGAAACAGGTATGCATGACTGAATGCTGTATTTACATGTACCAGCATCGCACAATGCACATATGAAACAGGTATGCATGACTGAATGCTGTATTTGCATGTGCCAGCATCGCACAATGCACATATGAAACAGGTATGCATGGCTGTATGCTGTATTTACATGTACCACCATCGCAAAATGCAAATATAAAACAGGTATGCATGACTGAATGCTGTATTTACATATACCAGCATCGCACAATGCACATATGAAACAGGTATGCATGGTTGTATGCTGTATTTACATGTACCAGCATTGCAAAATGCACATATGGAACAGGTATGCATGGTTGTATGCTGTATTTACATGTACCAGCATTGCAAAATGCACATATGAAACAGGTATGCATGGCTGTATGCTGTATTTACATGTACCAGCATTGCAAAATGCACATATGGAACAGGTATGCATGGTTGTATGCTGTATTTACATGTACCAGCATCGCACAATGCACATATGAAACAGGTATGCATGGTTGTATGCTGTATTTGCATGTACCAGCATCGCAATGTGCACATATGAAACAGATATGCATGGATGTATGCTGTATTTGCATGTACCAGCATCGCAATGTGCACATATGAAACAGGTATGCATGGCTGTATGCTGTATATGCATGTACCAGCATCGCACAATGCACATATGAAACAGGTATGCATGGCTGTATGCTGTATTTACATGTACCAGCATCGCACAATGCACATATGAAACAGGTATGCATGGCTGTATGCTGTATTTGCATGTACCAGCATCGCACAATGCACATATGAAACAGGTATGCATGGCTGTATGCTGTATTTACATGTATCAGTATCGCACAATGCACATATGAAACATATATGCATGGCTGTATGCTGTATTTACATGTACCAGGATCGCACAATGCACATATGAAACAGGTATGGATGGCTGTATGCTGTATTTACATGTACCAGCATCGCAAAATGCACATATGAAACAGGTATGCATGACTGAATGCTGTATTTACATATACCAGCATCGCAATGTGCACATATGAAACAGGTATGGATGGCTGTATGCTGTATTTGCATGTACCAGCATCGCAATGTGCACATATGAAACAGGTATGGATGGCTGAATGCTGTATTTACATGAACCACCATCGCACAATGCAAATATAAAACAGGTATGCATGGATGTATGCTGTATTTACATGTACCAGTATCGCACGTGAGAATAGGCATGAATGTAGACTTATTTTTCTGGAAGACAAATTGATTTTTACTAGTGTAAACATCTCTCAGGTAATTTTGACACAAGCCAGTTGAGACATCGCTTCATAACCAAGGTCACACCATGCTAGGCTAATTTTTCTTTTAGCTGGACTCGTAAAGATTTGTGGGTGACCTAGTTACCTTGGTGCGTAGAGTCACTTTTCGCCGTTCACTTATTCCACGTTGTTTCAAGATCTTTCAACAAAAACTGATAAATGTCTAAAATTTTGCAAACAGTCCAATACCGCGCTGAATATGATAAAAATATCGCCTATAGCGACATGGGCGTAGCCAGCAAATGTCAAGGGCTGCGAATTTTTGGGTTTTCACCACTTCGAGTCAAGCGGTCCCCAAAAGGGTGATACGGAGGTTCAGCCCCAGAATCTTTTTAAAAATCTTCATTGCTTCTTAGTGTATTCCAAGCATTTCAAACTACTCGTATAATTTGTTAATGCCTTTTTCAACAACTTTTTTCTTTTTTTTACCTCAGTCCTTAATTGGCATAAGGGTGGTGTCATATGATGGCCTTTTCAAGATCATTTTCCATATTGCCGGATAGCGGTATTAATTTTGCTACATCTAGCTAATTCAGCTCTGGCCAAATGTCTAAATTAGCATCAGCAGATATCATAAAATAAATAACTATAATTACTAAAAGCAGCAGCATTTCTTAATCAAAATCATCAGTAATCAACGGCCATTATATGATTAGATTAGCCTATATTCGATTGATGGGTCTACAATGTAGAATGGATTTGCGAGGGCCTGATTGATCATGGAAGTCAACTGTCTTACATAACATATATAAACCCATAATAATAAAATGAGGACAATTAATCTGTATTCATAGATAACCAGTTTAATTCAGTTCTAGGTGGAATTCTGTAATCAACATGTCACATCTGCATCTGCTACATTCCGAGCCCCTATAACATATTTAGAAGGAAATGAAATACTGGAACAAGTCAATATTCATATGCTGTAAATAACCACTTTAAAATGGCTACCGTTAATGATAGCTAGCCTTCAACCCCAGGGGGTTGAATTTAATTAATTGATAACTTCTCCTTGATTTCTCACTTTGTTATTCTTTGATCTCAACATTGCAAGTCATTTATGCCAATCATTGACATGTTTTAGCTTTTTTGTTGAAGCAGCTCAATTTCTAGCCCTGAAATTCCAAAAATCAAAGATATAATTGCTTTTCTCAATTTTACGATGTATCTTTATAGTGTATGGCGTCCGTATCATACAACAGCCTGGTGAATGTGTTTTTTCAATTTATTTATCTAAATTTCCTTGATATTGATATAAACACAGTGAGCCCCCCTCCCTCCCAACCTCTCACATTACCAATAAACCATCTATGATTACTGTAATTAATCCTCTATTGTAATTTAAACTACCTAGAATGCCTATGGCGATTGGTAGTAGATATTTTGTGTATTTTTTGATTATGAAGGAAATAAATAATATGTTAAAAAAAAATATAAATACAAAAGTATGCCTTTGTTAACTTAATAACATTAGCGGCATAGTAAATATTAAAAATATAACAGGAATTTACACAATACAAAAACCACGTAGTATGTTCAGTCTGTATGTATGCTTGCTCCCCATCCCCCCCCCATAAGGTTTCCAAAGGATTTTAGAATGTTTCACTGGCTGTTTAATACTGTGATTGCTGCTGAAACACAGTGAGCCACGATTTCAATAATTTTGCCATTCATCACATCACTACTTAGGTTGGTATCCCCATACAAAAGTGTATCTGATTTCTTAGAGATTGTTAAATTTCTGAAATCGGGCAGACATTCCAGTTCGTCGAGTCCTGCAAGAAGCAATTCCCTTTCATTTATGAGCAGTGGCCATTTGATTAGAAAATGAGAAGTAGTTTGTTGAGCTGCACCACATGGACATTTGGGATCATTAATTGTGGTAAAATTGTGTGGGCATGTAAATGGCTATCTTGTAAATGGCTGTCTTGGCATAGTGTACTCCATTTTGGATGTGGGTAAGGATGCATGGCTCCTTTGCTTCCTGACTGATCCTTTGAATCTTGAGATTGGCTGCCCAACTCGGATAGTTGGTGGAAGCCCATTCCAAGCTGAGATGGCACTAAAAATTGTAGATTCTTTAGTTGAGACACTAGTATGTAATGGAATCTGATGATCTGGCTGATCTCTCAGCCTTCTAGTGTGAACAATTTCATAAGTTCTCACCACATCACAGATGAAGGGAGGTAAAGCATTAAAGCGCGCCTTAAAAATAAAAAAATTTAAGTGCTCATCTCTTCTCGATGCCAGCTTTTTCCAATTTAGAGAAGAAAGTACCTTATCAGTATTTGACCCATGAATAGCACCTAAACCTAGCCAGGCTGCTCTATAGTGCAGACTTTCGAGAGCTTGGAGCTTAAAGGGACATTCCTGCCCAGACCATTTCTATCCTGATATTGTAGCTATAATCATATACATACTGTTCATATTTAGCAAAACATGGGAAAATGTTTTACTATAGTCAATGTTGATCATTTAAAAATGTAGTGCTCATTTCCAGTGAGCTGCCATCTTTTGAAATTTCACTCAGGAAGTGATGTCATTGACTCTCAATTTTCATAACCCTGCCTATTACAGTATAGGAAAGTAGCACAAAATCACTTCTACACAAATAATCCTTACTTTATATGCAAAAATATTTTCAGAGCTTGTCAGATTATGATAAAAGAAGAGATTTTTAGAAGGATTAAATCATAGACAAATGTGAAAAAGAATATTCAGTTAGCTCTTTACCTAATGCTATATGCAAAGTTGAGAGTCGATGACATCACTTCCTGAATGAAATCTTAAAAGATGACAGCCTCCTGAAATTGAGCACTACATTTTTTTGTGATCGATATTGACCATATCAAAACATTTTTCTGCTAAGCTGATGCTTTATTGTAAATGCTTTATTGTAAATTTTGTCACAGTAATCTAAGTGGGGTATGAAGTAAGCATTGTAAATTGTTTCGCCTGGAATGGTTGTGGTTCTTCTTGCGTTGATTTTTATAATGTTATGCTAATATGCCATTTTGCCGGAAAATGTCTTCTATTATGTCACCACCAGTAGTGGTGACATATGGTTATGTCTTGAACTTTTTGAGGACGGTGTTTGGTGGTTTGCGTTTGGCAGTCGGCCTCTATAACAAATGGCAGGTGATGACATTTGCATTTTAATGCCTTGTTAACATTTGTATTTGGCTTACTCATATTTCACTTGGCTACCGAGAAAGCGTCCATATTTCTTATTTAAGTTATTTTAGTAAGAAGAAATAAAAACCACAGGTAGTTGCTTTGTCCCAGTATATAAGTATGGCTGTAAACATATTAACGGCTTTTTCTAACAATTGCATAATAATTGGCTCATGATCTTCAGCAAAAATATTTTTGATTCACGAGTTTATAAAGCGTTAAAAAGTGACTGGAGTTATTATTAAATTCGAGAAGTCAGAAGTCCCCTTCTGGTTCAAATGTAGTGAAGCCTAAATTATGTTTTATGCGATTTGGAAAATAAGAACAGCATTAGATTCAGACTTTGACAAGGTTTGATATGCGACCCGATGGCAAATTCCAACTAGCGGATCCAGGGAGGGGGGGGGGGGGGCATGGGGTCCGGTCCCCCCTTATGTTGGCTCTGATGTTTTTAAGGGCCTTGAAAATGGGCCTTTTTGGACATAAATTGGCCTTTTAATAATTGGCCTTTTAATAATTTTTGGCCAAATTATTAAAGTATTGTCCTAAAAATTGGGCTCAAGCGCGAATCAAAATTTGTCCCCTCCTCATTGTTAGCTTCTGGATCCACCAGTGCTTCCGGTTGCCAAACTTATGGGGGGAGGGGGGGGGGGGTGCATATGCACGGGACATTAGAATTGGCCCAAACTTATGGGGGGAGGGGGGAGTGCATATGCACGGGACATTAGAATTGACCCAAACTTATGGGGGGGGAGGGAGTGCATATGCACAGGGCATTAGAATTGACCCAAACGTATGGGGGGGGGGAGGGGGGAGTGCATATGCACGGGACATTAGAATTGACCCAAACTTATGGGGGGGAGGGGGGAGTGCATATGCACGGGACATTAGAATTGACCCAAACTTATGGGGGGAGGGAGTGCATATGCACAGGGCATTAGAATTGGCCCAAACTTATGGGGGAGGGAGTGCATATGCACGGGACATTAGAATTGGCCCAAACGTATGCGGGGAGGGAGTGCATATGCACGGGACATTAGAATTGGCCCAAACGTATGCGGGGAGGGAGTGCATATGCACGGGACATTAGAATTGGCCCAAACTTATGGGGGGGAGGGAGTGCATATGCACAGGGCATTAGAATTGACCCAAACTTATAGGGGGAGAGTGCATATGCACAGGGCATTAGAATTGGCCCAAACGTATGGGGGGAGGGAGTGCATATGCACGGGACATTAGAATTGACCCAAACTTATGGGGGGGAGGGAGTGCATATGCACAGGGCATTAGAATTGACCCAAACTTATGGGGGGGGGAGTGCATATGCACGGGACATTAGAATTGACCCAAACTTATGGGGGGGAGGGAGTGCATATGCACGGGACATTAGAATTGGCCCAAACGTATGGGGGGAGGGAGTGCATATGCACGGGACATTAGAATTGGCCCAAACGTATGGGGGGAGGGAGTGCATATGCACAGGGCATTAGAATTGGCCCAAACGTATGGGGGGAGGGAGTGCATATGCACGGGACATTAGAATTGACCCAAACGTATGGGGGAGGGAGTGCATATGCACGGGACATTAGAATTGGCCCAAACGTATGGGGGGAGGGAGTGCATATGCACAGGGCATTAGAATTGGCCCAAACGTATGGGGGGAGGGAGTGCATATGCACAGGGCATTAGAATTGACCCAAACTTATGGGGGCGGGAGGGAGTGCATATGCACAGGGCATTAGAATTGACCCAATCCCAGTTGTTCATGTTTTATCCATTTTCAAACAAAAGCGACTCATGGACAGTTTTTACAGTACTACAGTAAAACCTGTGTAATCCGAAACGGCTGTGGGACCGGCCAAAAAGGTGATAACATTTCAAGGTTTTATCAACATGTAAGTCAATGGAAGAAAAGAAGATAGGATCAAGAATCGGTTAATATTGAGAATAGAGGTGCTTGGATTAGAGAGGTGTTCGGATATAAGGTTTTACTGTACTTAATTATATGTGCACACCAACTGACCACTTATAACCTGAAGCCAAACGCATGAAACGGGGAATACTGATACCTGCTGATATTGTCTCATAAGCGAGTGTATATACAATTACGTAACATCATTTGGTGAGCCAAATATAATGCTACATGCCGATCTCAACCCGCAAATACAATTGCCTTAAAAACCAGTTTTCAAATAGGTGGTTTATTATTTGGAGGGCGTTAGCAAAATAAGAATCTATTTTGTGAACGATAGAGGTGGAAATCAAGACTGACAACATGAATTCTTTTATTTTGTGCACAGTGTTAGGTAAGTTGACTTAAAATACTTGTTATTTTTTTCAATAAATTAAAGGCTATTTTATCTTTTTGGAATATATTGATACATGGTTGAATGTAACAGATTTGTAGAGTTGAACTTGACTAAACTATGTTTGCTAAAACACATGAATAATTTGACTGTACATGTATTTGTATATATCCATATTTAAATATAAATATATTTTAATATCTAAATATAGAGGATCGAAACATGGAAGAACATACCTGTATACGAGTTTCTAATTTAGAGTTGTTACAGATCGAGGAACTTAGTTATCGTAAAATGTAAAAGGGTCATGGAAATAAAAGCATCTGATACCCCAAAATACACACTTTTGTGTTCAGTTAAGGTGCCATGGTACTTAACAGGGAATGACAAATCAGGAAGTGACAAAACATGCTGTATTTTTAGACAGTTTTTGAACAAAGAGTTCTGTTTTGATCTCCAGTCAATTCAACTAGTTTCACATTTCATTTACAGGACCAGGATCACAGTTTACATGGTCAGAATGACCCTAAACATGATGAAATATAATTTTTTTCAGCCCGCTAAAAATGTGACTGAATAATAGCTAAAAATAGCCCCTTAAGAAAGGTCACTGAATAGCATCTTTTGAATTTTTCAGAAAATGTACCCAATATATTGCTCTAAATGATACAATCTTTGAAATTTGAGAAAAAGTCTGAAACAAAAATTGTGGTCATAAACAGGAAAATAGATCGCTTTTCAATTCATTTTTTTCATTTTTTTTATTTTTCTACGGATGATATCACATTATTCAACGATTGTATTATTTAGAGCTATATAATGGGCATATTTTCTGAAAAATTCAAAAGATTCTGTTTAGGGACCTTTCCTAAGCTCCTACTTTAACCATTTTTCAGTGGGCTAAAAAGGTTATTTCATCATGTTTAGGTCACGTCATGACGCTATAGTAATGTTAACTGAATTTGTTTTAATTAAATGATTTATTTCTATTCGCATTTGCAGAGATGCATATTATTTGAATACTTGCTTCAACTGAATATTCCATTCGGAATTAACACTTAACTGTTTGAACTTGCAAGTTTTTGAATTACACAGATGTTCGAATTGTGTCCAATATCGATAGTTACTACGATGTGTTAAATGACAATTTTATTGAGTGAAATGTTCACCGAACAATTCTTAAAAAGCAGATCCTTATTCACAATTTATATAAGTGAAGAAGAAGGTTAAACCATTAAAGAATTCAAAACTGTTGACAATTTGACCAATTCCCAAACTCAGCTTCTTTCTCGATGGGAATCGAACCCACAACCATAACTAGTAATTAACCTTCTTTCATCTCCAGCATTTGTTGGGCTGGCTTATGGGCAAAATGCCACAACCACCACCACCACTGAAGCTGCGACTGAAGCTGCGACTGAAGCTGCAACTGAAGCTCCATCTTGTAACATACTTGACGCAAAGGGCTGTCTGCAGGGGTTCTCAGTTGGAAACTTGACTAGTCTTTGCTTGTGAGTATATGCTTAACTTAGCAGGGGGTGTTTTATAATATTTAATTTCATGAATATGAAAATACTTTCTACCTTATGTTACTAGCCTACTTCTAAACTTTATCTAAATACATTTTTATCTAATTTCTCATGGCTGATTTTCTGAATCTAAATTGTTTTATTTATTTCAGATTTTTGGACAATGGTGAAAATATCACAAATTGTGTACGTGAAAAGACAGGTTGCGTGCCAAGTACTATTCCAGAGTTTACTACAATCCAATCTGCGGCGAAGACAGCGGGTTTCCTAAACCAGTGCAATGCAGGTAAAAATGCATATGTTTTGCGTCAATATATAGATGGCAGCAATGGTAGACTTCTATAATCCTTTCCTACCATCTTTATTTGAAATGAATTTTATCTAGCCTAGCTCGATCAATTGTATTTTTTCTTAATGTTTTTCTGTCTGTTTTGAAACATGTAATAAAACAGTATGCGATGGTCAACGCAAAGGAAGTCAATTTAAAACCGAAAGTATGAAAGAAACATGAGACATTGTATCGAATACATAGTTCAAATTATTTTTCTCTAAAAGTAGTTTTCTATTTAAAATATGATTTATCTATCGATTCAACAAATGTCTGTGCCCCCTTAAGTCATTCTGTCATTCGAGATTTTACCATAACATGTATGTATTCTTTTTGGCGTTTAAAATAGTAACATAATATTGATTTGTTTTTCAGGTGTCTTCTTGGAACCAGTTGTGATGACCATTTTCCTGTCAGCCCTTTGTGTCGTATATAATATGTTCAAACATTAGAGCGTTATTTGCAACACTATTGAATATTGGAGCATTTTAATATAATATTATCAAATGTTAGAGCCTTCTCTGCAACGTCATCGAGCCTAACATTTGAGCGCAAGCCTCGCCTCTGTGAACTTCAACCTGACAGTGAACAATACAATTGATACACAAGATATAAGAAAATATATGTCAATACAATATATACATATACTGAACATAGAATACATGATTCTAAAAATGCTCTCTTCCTAAAATATGTGTGTTTGATATTATGTTTAGTTATTTTTAAAAACACAAAAAGCTATCGTTCGATATTTACCACAGTCCGACCTATGGCTGAACGTACAGAGAGACACAAATAGAGTTATTCTCCAGTTGCCCTGTTTTAGAGTCCCCGCGTTACGCTAGAACTGAACGAATCGTTCGTTCGGAGAATAACATTAAAAAATCCCAAATAATCCAGGTGTAGAAGGGTAGGAGGTCCTATTAATTTATGGTCCTACTCTCCATTGATTTATATGTTGACCTCTTTGTGCTCTTTCCTTTATCATCTTATACACAATCAGGGCTAGTTCAACAAGTTAAACCTAGTCTGGGCCTTATTTCTTATCTGACATATCTTGTGGTCAGCCCTAGGTATAACATCCGTGCCTATTCGGCCCTTGATGCAATTTGCTACCAATGAGAGCATAGCACGGATGTTAAACCCAATCACGGCAACAAGAACATTCAGATTAATAAATAAAAGCCGTGGTATTGGGTTTAACTTGTTGAACTAAATCAGGGCCAGTAAGGGCCTTTAAAAGGGGGGGGGACCATAATCCCTGGGGACCATCATTTCTTTCACACCGGCCCAGAATTACAAATCCATTTTACCGCATCCGATTTGAATTAGCCAATTAAACATAGGGTGTGAGAACTTAAAATTTATTCTGACGATGTGTGTTACCCCCCTTTGGACATAAAATCCAGGGCTGAATATGTCAGCACATGTTGATGATTGGTAAGTAAAAACAATCTATCCTTATAACGTAACATATTTTCTATAGTTTAGTGAATTTCGGTCACGAACCGTTCAGTTAAAACGAAGATTGTCCGCGTCAGTTTTGATTGTTCTGCCGGGAAACAAATGGGGTTTTCTCATTAACATAATCACGTGAGCCATAGACTGGACAATAAAGGTAATATTGGACCACTATCAATTCCCTTGGATGGTTAGAATCGTTACTAAGATGTTCTAGCAGGCGGAATTGGCCTAGAATTATAGTTGAAATATATATTTTATGTCCAAATTAAGAGATAAGTAAAACGTATATGATACGACGTCAGATACTGTACATCACGGCATATTACTGCATTTTTACATGCGTACTTACTTTTAAAACCGCGATATCTCGACAGCAAAATCATATTTTTCTACAATTTTTCGTCATCAGTTGAACACATACACTTCCCTCCATAAGTTTGGCAACCTTTTTCCCCCTATTGAAGTACGTGTTAAAGCCTCTTTACCTTTGAATTTTTATTTACTTAACCTGCGATGAAAATACTTATACTGTTGATGGAAACGAAATTTGACTTTAATTCCAATACCTCCAAATTTTTCTCAATTTTTTTCCTCAATTACAATAGGTCGACAATTGATGATATATTTGATGAACTTTTGAAAATCGACATTCCCATGTTAACCAATGGGAAATGGTAGGTTTGCCGCAAGTCATATGACAGAATATCCATCCATCCGAGTACTTGCAAAAATACGAGTTAGGCAGGCAATTGAATTTGCTAACTTTATTTAACAAAAAATTGATATGTTTCTTCAGGTTCAACAAAGTTATTAGGCTTTAAAGTCAAAATTGTTTTTCAAAAAACCTCTCCCATTGAAATAACACAGGAGGCGAAAAATTATTTTCTAAAATGACTTGGAAGCGCTGTAACTTTAATATTCATCAAATAAACTAAACACTTAGTGTTCATAAAAGCTAGACAATTCAATTTTCTATATAAAATTTTTTTTTTGCTGAATCTTTCACTGAAAAGATATCCTGATTTCTGATTTGCCCCGAACCCTCCATTTCCCGTTGGATTACATGGGAATGACGATTTTCAAAAATTCATCAAATTTATCATCAATTTTCGACCTAATGTAATTGAGGAAAAAAATTGAGAAAATTTGGAGGTATTGGAAATAAAGTCAAGTTACGTTTCCATCAATAGTATAAGTTATTTCATCGGCGGTTAAGTAAATAAAAATTCAAACGTAAAGAGGCTTTAACACGTAGTTCAATGGGGAAAAAAGGTTGCCAAACTTATGGAGGGGAGTGTACTACATATGTCCACTACATGGTATGACCTTAGATGTACATGGCATTCCAGGGTAAATACTCGTTGCACATATATAATGCCAAAGAATGTAGATTTAAACATTAAACATGACGAAATGATTTAAACATACGTATAAAAACCTGTCACCATGATAGTAAGAAATTCTGGCATATGTTTTCTGCATTAGGTCCTTGAGAACAGTCACCTGTATAATTGTAAGCACGGAGCTGACAAAACAGCCTTTTCGAGCTGTCAAAGGACCAGGTAAAATAAAATTTCTGATGCTATATATTTATAGTTGTATAAATATAGCGTCATAACTGCTTCATTATTCGTTTGTTATTTATTAAATTTATTTTCACGAATAATAATCTTGCATATTACCCATAAATTATTGCAGAAAGCAAAGAAATATTCGTACATTAGCGAATAATAAAATGAAAATTTACGAATATAAATGTGAGTTTACGAATACAAATGTGTCAAGGTTAACGAATATAAAATGCTAGTATCCAGGCATAGGTCACGTGACACGAGAGTTTTAGGTGTGTGTGGGAGAGGGGGTGATGACTTTGACAATGGGTTGACCATGTCTCGTTAAGAATGATCACGTGATCTCAATGAACCATTTAAAAACGAATATATAAGTGCAATTTACGAATACAAATGACAATATTTACGAACAATAAATGTGCACTTTTACGAAAACATTTTACCTTGTTACGAAAATAAATTCGACAATTAAAAAATAAAATGCCAAAGCTAGTACTTATTCTTTGATAAATTTGACATTCAGTTCGTAGATATTAAACTAATATATTTGCAGAAACAATGATAAAGGTACAAAATGAACTTAAATTTATTTGTCTAACCTACGGATATAAAATGTGTCACTTACAAATGCTTATAAGGACTTTTGAATGTATTTCAGCATAAAACACGTACATATACGTATTAACGAAACAAATTAGATTCACGAACAGAAAACACAAAAAATGAATGAAAATACTACAGTTACGAACATATATGTGCATTCAATAAATGCAGAAGTTCAATTTACGAATACATATAGTAAAATACGAATAATGAAGCAGAAAACGTTCCATATGTATATACTACCATTCAAGTACCTTAATTAATACTCAGCACAGCTCATCCCAGTATTATGCTCATAAGGTCATAAACAAATACTTATTACTTTGTAAAAACCTATTGAAAATAAAATCACTGAACAAACTGGTAATTATTCATTCACGTACAAAAAACTCCCGAGTAGACGTCGGGTAATTTTGCTGGCTGGTTTTTAATGCCCTGGTTGTCTCTAATATTATAGTTATTAATTTTGATTAGGCCAAGAGAATGTAACACTCTGACATGAGTTGTTATTGAAAGTTATTTCTTCGAACCTCCAAATGAAAATACAAATTAATTTTTTGTACTCACAAGGCTTTAGGCACTGTACTCAATGTATTGTTTGTGAAATCACGAGCTTTCAATAGACGAGTTGATTATGACTCGAGACCAGAATGGTGAACTTTAAGTTTAAATCATTTTCTCACATGACAGACATCAGATATTATGACTTTCTATCAATTCCTCCAAGGAAAGCCAAGTATATTTATAAAATAGATGCTGACAATATTTCAACTTTATTAAAATGTTCTTAGAGGTTCTTTAGCCACCTGTACCAGCAATAACATCAAGTTGAATTAGAGGTTCGTTAGCCACCTGTACTAGCAATAACATCAAGGTGAATAAGAGAGGTTCGTTAGCCACCTGCACCAGCAATAGCATCAAGTTGAATTAGAGGTTCGTTAGCCACCTGTACTAGCAATAACATCAAGGTGAATAAGAGGTTCGTTAGCCACCTGCACCAGCAATAGCATCAAGTTGAATTAGAGGTTTGTTAGCCAACTGTACCAGCAATAGCATCAAGTTGAATTAGAGGTTTGTTAGCCACCTGCACCAGCAATAGCATCAAGTTGAATTAGAGGTTCGTTAGCCACCTGCACCAGCAATAACATCAAGTTGAATAAGAGGTTCTTTAGCCACCTGTACCAGCAATAACATCAAGTTGAATTACAGGTTTGTTAGCCACCTGTACTAGCAATAACATCAAGGTGAATAAGAGGTTCGTTAGCCACCTGTACCAGCAATAGCATCAAGTTGAATTAGAGGTTCTTTAGCCACCTGTACCAGCAATAACATCAAGTTGAATTACAGGTTCGTTAGCCACCTGTACCAGCAATAACATCAAGGTGAATAAGAGGTTCGTTAGCCACCTGTACCAGCAATAGCATCAAGTTGAATTAGAGGTTCGTTAGCCACCTGTACTAGCAATAACATCAAGGTGATTAAGAGGTTCGTTAGCCACCTGTACCAGCAATAACATCAAGTTGAATTAGAGGTTCGTTAGCCACCTGCACCAGCAATAGCATCAAGTTGAATTAGAGGTTCGTTAGCCACCTGTACTAGCAATAACATCAAGGTGAATAAGAGGTTCGTTAGCCACTTGTACCAGCAATAGCATCAAGTTTAACACAACTATCACAGCAATAAAGTTAGGCACCGTTATCACAAATGGCGGACGTAATCGTCGCATCAACACTTTAATCACCTGGTTCTCATTTCATGGGTCCATTTCATCGCTAATTCTGTGAAATTTAAACCGCCTGGTATAGACGATATAGCAGTTCAGCAGCCCCGTCCTAAATAGTAAAGACGAAGGTCTCTTTTAAGAAGTGAAGTTGAACGGATGCAAAGGGTAGGAATTAAAGAAAATTGAGCGAGGTTCAATTGTGCCAAATTTGATTTTAAATCAATGTTGGAAGAGAGAGTTATTCACATTTGTTTGGGTTACATTTTCTTGGCTCATCCTGTTCTATACATTAGACTGCTGATATCAATACGTATATCGTTATAAACAAGTCATGCCTTAACAACAACAGATTTGTTAAACAGGTCAAATATGTCCATAAACCATATAGTCAACCATTCCTTGGTGGTTCACTTTTTGGGACACCCGATATCACCTCATGCTGACAGATCGACTAAAATTACAAACGTATGATGTGAGACTCGACATTCACCAGGAAACCTGAAATAATTTGTCACCCATGGATAGATCCATGATTTATTATTATTTGCTTTAAGGCCTAAAAATTATTTTTCTTCATGTGTGGCAACATATTTCCCGGTGAATGTCGAGTCTCGCATCATACGTATGTAATTTTACGCGATCTGTCTGCATGGGGTGGATACATCAAATCTTGGAAAGTAAGTTACCTAGACAGAAGTCAATGATGTCTCTTAGACAGAATTATTAACTTAGTGAGTTTAGGCCTTAAAACCAATCTATTTTTGAATATTAAGGTTTAAATCATATTCTATTCTGTAAGTGTTTAACCATTCTCTACTTCAAAGGGGCTTGACCTGTTTCAACGGGGTTCTATAATCTATATCATGTCTATACCTATATCTAACAAATACAGTCCTAGAGAGTGTAAAATGGGCAACAAATACAGAACTAGAGAGTGTAAAATGCCTCCTTGTTGTTCTATATTCTCAAATCTATGTTACTGAAGATTTAAACATTTAAAATGTTAGAATTCATAATATTTTCCAGATAGCCTTAACAGTAACAGAACTATTGGACACTTCAAATTTGGCGTCGAGTTCCAATTTATTTAATGTTGATTTTGGGTCTGGAAATCCCAAAAGTTGCCGATGACTATGAAAATCTTACTGTTTACATTCAGGGAAATCCTACAACGAAAATATTGAATAACCAAAGTGATAAAATTGTATAAACGACGAAAACATGTTTTGCTTAACTAGACAATATGCACACATTGCACTCAATACATGGGACATATGTACTTACTATTAATTATATGCACATCAATGTTTAATAACCTAAAGTATAATTAAAAATACAGTACCTGGGGATAATGTACCTCATAAACTGATGTATACCCACATCTATGTATAGCATCATTCCAATAGGTGAACACGCGTGTACTTATAAGATAGGTACCAAATGCTCCAACATTTTTATTGGCAGCCTTAAAACCAGTCGTAAAAGGTCTTTTTGTAAAGGGTGTGAGAAAGCAGAATCTCGTAAAACGTAGATTTGGAAAACAGAGTGAATAATATGCATTTCTCCGTCTTATGTTCATTGTTAGGTAAGTTGACTTCATTTTTGTGAGATGTAGTTAAGACATTGAAAAAAGTTTGCTTGGTAAATGATGAAAAACTGTAAATTGTAAGTAATGCTCAGATGTAACAATTTGGGAGTGTTCACAACGCGTATTTTAAGATGAAAATTAAAATATAGACAATATATTTTAATAGGACTAATTTATTTATCAGTTTTCATGAGGACTAACGCTCTGTAGTATGTTACAAAGTGTTGGACATTTTATGACATGAATTGCTTCGTATATCGCATTACCATGCTATTCAGTATTGTGACTTTTACAAGATGGGGGGAGGGTATTTACAGAAGTATTTTATGTACAGATATATTTGACGTACATAGACATTTCATTTACGTCGGTATTTGCTTACAGAGATATTCCATGTACAAAGGTATTTGACCTACACCGATATTTCACGTTCAAAGGTATTTGCCTTACATAGACATTCTATGTACTTCGGTATTTGCTTGCAGATATATTTCACGTACAATTATATGTGACTGATATGTGCTTTCAAAGATTTTTCATGTACAAAGGTATTTGACTCACAAAGACGTTTCATGTACTTCGGTATTTACTTACAAATATATTCCAAAGGTATTTGACTAAAATATATTTCGTGTAAAAAGGTATTTTCATTTACCAAGTCATTTCATGTACTTCGGAATTTGCTTACACAGATATTTCATGTGCAATGTTATTTGACTGACAAAGAGGTTTCTTGACTTAAATAGATATTTTGTGTAAAAAAGGTATTTGACTTACAAAGACGTTTCATGTACTTCGTATTTGCTTACAGAGATATTCCATGTACAATATACAGGTATTTGACTCAAACTTGCTTACACAGAGATATATTATACGAAGGGATTCGTCTTACAGCTATGTTTGCCCTTTTCCATTTTTATAAGAAGTGTCTCTATGGTAGACATATCGTATTAGACTGAGAGATGTATTTTCATATATCATCATATTGCTTTAATGATTTTGTTTAACTTCCAGCAGTGGCAGGGTTGGTTTACAGTCAAGACAAAAATTGTAATATTCTTGATGCCAAGGGTTGCCTGAAAGGAATATCAGTGGGAAACTTATCCAGTCTTTGTCTGTGAGTACCATACCCCATGCAGACGGATCGCCTGAAAGGGGCACGTAAGATATGGCAAGCCATTTTCAAAGGGCTATAACTTTAGTTCTAAGAATACTTTAACCACAAAAACAAATGGTTCTGTTAGATCCATGTCTTGTCTTCAATAAATGACAGTAGGATGATAATCAAGTTGAATGGATTATCTCTTAAGCTGTTCCTAATCCAACCATCTTCACCAATTTTCCCTAATTCTGACACAATTTTCACCAAAAATGCAGCATTTTATTTCAGCTTTTATGGTAAAATTACAATTTATTGTAAGGAATGATCTACCTCTAAAAAGGAAAACGTGATTACTTTGGGATTAGGATAATCCAAAAACAATAACTTTTTTAGGCCGAATTTTTGACCAAAAAGTAGCAATTTTTTAATGAGATTAATGCACGAAAACATTGAGCTATGTCACATGATTGATTTCCAAAAAGAAAAAAATGATCTAAATGAGATAAGCATTATCTGATAATCCATTTGTCATTTTTACCTCATAGGCCATGACCTTAGTGTGAAGTGTATGAAAAGATGTCACTTAGAGCGACATTTAGATGTACCCTATTTTATGCAATGATGTTTATAGATAGAGTTATATATGTTCCATAGATGGCATGATATATTGTACATGGTGAGTGCTTAATACTCTGGGTATTCATTGTTGCATAATTGCGTATTATAGAAATGAGCATGGATATGACAACATGACTGTGTCGTGTAAAGTATGTACAGTAAAACATTAATGTGTTTAACACCTAGTAAAACACATAAGAGGAAATACTTGTTTATATATTTGTATTGTATCGTGTAAATGAATATTTGAAATATTACATATTTGCGATGTTTCAACAAACATGATTCAATACCATCTTATTTGAATTAACTCTTCCCATGTGTATCTTTCTTTATCATCAACCATATTGGGTGTTTCGAAAGTGCCTTCTGTAAAGGATTTGCTGTAAATGATCTTTTGAATAGTGTTATATCATATATGTAGTTTGTATTGATACAGGTACCACTGTATACAGAGTACATGCAAATAGTAATTTTCTCCAATGGTTTGGCCAAACATTTGTTGCATTTTTTGTTCATTTCAATTGGATTGTTTTTGCTGATTGGGATTTTTATGGAATAAACAGTTTAATTCTATGGGTTTAACCCTTTGACAATGATAATGATAATGATAATGTCGCTCGATCACTCTATATTCTCAGTCAATACTTCGGGCTTTGTATGAAAAACCTTATACCTCGTACCCACGTACCCGCGTACTTGGGGCATGATACATTCTTTAAAGAGTTCAATTCTAACGTTTCAGATTATTCAGATTATATGAATTGTAGGTGCATTAATGCACTTGTAGACCTACGTGTATGTCTTATAGATCTAACATTTTTCTAGTCATAAATAAGGCCAGAATTGCAAAATTGTGCCTTTGCTATTTTATCCTCGATAAAAAATGCCTAATTGAAATGCTCGTTCACTATAGAACCAATCTACACAAAAACGTTTTTTATTTGCTGGGAAATTTCAGGAAGTCGTCTAAAAGGTGTCACCTATATTGCAACATTTAGATTGCTCCCCCATTCAATATGGAATCATCATCCACTGTTAAGCACAACTGCACAAATTACACTGTCGTGTGTTGGGGTGAATTTACTATTCCTGATACTACAATTATCTGTATTCATGCTGTGATTAAATAAAATGATACATAGAATACCCTGACATATTTAAAACTTATTTAGAATGGATTTTCTCTATTAAAAAGTCATTTGAATGGCGCTATTTTGACAATCAATGAAAAAGTAAAATTAACAATTCTGGCTTTATTTTAAGACTCTATATCTATCTCTCTTTGACAAGACCAATTTCACATCTATGGATACTATGAATGTATTTATACCTCAGATAGCATTAAGATTGAATAATGTTTTAAAACTTTAAAAATTGAACCATTCAAAAACTGTATCACCACCCACGTACATGGGTATGAGGTACGAAGCCAATATTTCGTAAAAAATCATGAAATAACAACATGTAGAACAAGGCATTAACATTACAAAATGTCACCACCTTGTAATTCAAGTCAAATCTTGAAAAGAAAATGGTTATATGAAGCAAGTTGAAAAATGCCTTTTAGAACTTATTGAACTTGAGAGGTCAAATGTCAAATCAAAAGTCAGATTTGACTTCTGAGAACTTGTAGGTGATTTTGAAAATTCGGTCAATTCGAAGCAAGTTGAAAAATACCTTTTAGACCCTCCTTACTTTGAGAAGGTCATTGAAGGTCAATTGTAAAATCTAAAGTCAGATTTGAATTTTTGAGACCTCGAAGATCGTTTTGAAAAAATGGTCAATTTGAAGACCTTTTTCACCTTAAAGAATGTACAGTAGTAAAAAAGAGGAGTGCATTCGTGTTGTATTGTTTTTGAAGAATGGACACTGCAGCTATCTAAGACCAATGTGGCACAAAATATGATTGACAGTGTTTGGCTCAATATTAACACCTTGACTGTCACATGCAGTGCACCGAAGCTGTTCTTATTAAATCATTTTCAATCACTCAATAGTTGAATTGTAAACACAAAATAAATACAATTTTTAACTGATCTTGCCTGATACATGCAATGCATTGAAGCTAAACCAATTAAACCCACTTCTCTACACATTTATCTCATAGTTAATACAAAAGAATTCTAAACTTGGATCATGGGTCAATTACCCTTCATAAGAGTCAGTATGGGGTTTAAGTTAGATGAACTATTCGAAATGGGTCTTATGAGAACTAATAGCCTCAGGCCAAGCCCATCTGCTATTATTTCTCATAAAACCCAGTACTCATATTTTATCCATAACTGAATGAACGATTAGAGGATTCAGTGACCTTCTATAAAATTACAAACTGAACATGTTGCTATACCTTAGACGACTATCTGGTTGTTATTCACTAAAGGGGTTCTCATTATAGGTTGGCACATAAAAATGCTTTTGGGTTCAATGACTGCCACTTGGTTCGGGGTTGTTGCTTTTAGGGGCTGTAATTAGAAATAGAGGTTTTGGTTTTAATAAGGGATCCCAAACTTATCTTTAGACCATAGGCCTATGTAAAAGTAGTAGTAAGCTTATATACATCGAGAGCACTCATAAGCTGCCTTCCTACTAGTTTTCCCTAGGCCTATACTGTAGGTTAATCGACGGAATTATGATTACGCTTAGGGGTGCTGTGATTCCAGAAATTAATAAATGCTGCATCTAATATAACACCATTCTTGAGTGGATTTGACCTAGGATGAAGAAACTACATAGGTGACCACGGGCTTTGAAACCCCATTACAAATAGTATTCGCGAATTCAACTAACAGCTGCCAGATTAACCTACTATTTTATGGCTCATTAAATATAAATAGTACCTGCCACTATTTCATTCATATTAAAATGAATTTGCCATCAAAAGTATGTAAATCATCGCCTTTTACCCAACATATGACATCATGAATACTACCAAAGTGCAGTCTAATACGGAGTGAGCCAAAAATGTAGCCCAAACAAATTCCGCATCTGTTAAAGTGTTATTGCGCATAATAAAACCTGTTTAATGTTCTTTCATTTTACTAAGTTTAATTGGCCCTGCCCAAATAGTCGGGACTTTATAGCTATAAAACGAAACATGGTCCAAAATGCCAGCCTCATCTCACGACTACGGGCTATCTCTGAGATAATGTCAACCCCTACAACAAGTAGGAGAACAATTTCTGTGACAGTGAACTTACAACCTCAACCGACCAGTGCCGACCGACCAGTGCAGGTCTGCCTGAAGGGACGAGGCTGAAATTTGTAGAATGACCATAGAATTGTGACCTTGAGGAATGGACCCATGAAACATGGTAAAATGCAAAAAGATTTTGCATGGTAAAATTAACTAGATATGATTTCAACTCATACTTGATGAATGAGTTAATAACGTTTCTTTGGATGACATTTTTGCCTCACCCTGTAATTCATTTTATTTTCACACTTATTCATTTCAGCCTGCTCAATCAAAGAATCTAGGTTGAATAGCCAAAACCAGGCACATGTAATTACATAGAACTATTCAGTATATAAATAGCTCTACGTGAATGACTGTTTTATACACAAACAATACAAGGTAAAATACAGGATTAAGGCAAATCGTAACGCTGAGTAAGTCACTCTCCGAGTGTTTGAAACAGTGTAATAAACAAAGTATTTATGACACTTTTCTGCCCTCTATTTTGTAATTGATTAATATTAGTATGAAGCACTTAATAATATCAGAAAAAAATACGAAAAAATCACGAAAAAATAACAAAAAGTAGGTTCATAATTAACTTTTCCCCTTTACAGTTTAAATCATGTCTGAAAGTTCAATACAACTTTGCTCTAAAAATTATTAAAAAGGCCTGTATTTTTGGTGAAAATTCCATCAGAATTAGGGGAAATTGGTGAGGATGGGTGGATTAGGGACAGCTTAAGAGATAATCCAATCAACTTGATTATCATCCTTATGTCATTTATTGAAGATAAGACATGGATCTAACAGAACCATTTGATTTTGTGGTTAAATTATTCTTCGAACTAAAAGATATAGCCCTTTGAAAATGGCTTGATATATCTTACGTGCTCCTTTCATTCGTATGATGCGAGATTGGACATTCACCGGGAAATTAGAAAAAAATTGACACCCCTTAGGCCAACTTTTTTTTACTGCTTTATAAATGGTGAGTGACAGTCACATTGAGTTTTATAAGTGTGAGAATAGCACAACGTCTTGATATTTCAAGGTAACTCGTTTGAATAGTGATGGCGGTGATTGAAATTACGATTAAGATAAAACAGCAACGAAATATTTGTAGGTTTCGTTGAAGAACTAAGAAATATACATCACATATCGTATATTTTGAATGTAGTCTTTGCAAATCGATGCCCGGGGATAACATTAAATAAGCGAAAAACTGTTGAGTTTGAAATTCAAAACTACACAAAATTTAGTCATTTGTTTAATTGTCTTAAGCCCGGTATACACCAATGGGGCAAGTTGGGACCTCCATAGACTTAACATTGCGTGGGACCTCGTGGGACCTTTTGGGATTTTGTCCCATGAAGTCCGTGGGACTCCATGGGACTCCGTGGGATTTTGCCCCATCTTGCCCTATCGAGTCCCACGAGGCTCTTATGAGGTCCCATGAAGTCCCATGTGGGACTCAGTGGGACTCGATGGGACAAGATGGGGCAAAATCCCACGGAGTCCCATCGAGAATGAACATGTTCATTCTTTCCATGGGGCATGGTGGGATTTTCGATCATATGACGTGTTGTGTGAAGCCCGACATAGACCAATGGGGCACTGTGGGATTTGATGGGACTCCATGGGGCACGATGGGGCAAAGTCATCAAGGTCCCATGGGACTTTGTGGGATTCGAATGGGCAAATTGGGATTCGATGGGGCAAGATGGGACTCGATGGGGTAAGTGGGATTTTGCCCCATTGGTGTATACCTGGCTTTAAGGGCATGGTCTACATTGCCGAACGACCTCGGGGTGTATAGATGTAACCTACATACGATCATAAAAAGCCAATTGAGCATTGGAAACCAATTATTGTCTTGTATACCATTATTCTGCCTATCTAATATATTTTACAGAATATGACCCTTGTTCCATTTTGACTGATAAGGTACTGGATTAGCTTGGACCATGTTTTTGCTTACAGTGTTGCATTTTTCTACTTATGCTAATTATGTGTTGTATATCATTTCTCATTGATTTTGAAAATAATAGGGTCTTGTTCTTCAGCATCTTCGAATTATTGCCATTTATATACCCCTGCCTACTTTTATGAAGAAATACTATGATAATCATCAATAATTTCTGTTATACAGGGCGTATAAAAACGAAACAAGTATTTATCTCGTAAAATCACGAAACTAGTGATGACTATATCAATAAAGCCACGTCTGTCCTCTTTGCAATGATATGTCATTCATTAACATATGGTAAAGGTTGGGTGAGAAATCCTTCCATTTGCACAGTGGGTCAAAATCGGCTCTGGACCAAGTTTTAGATAAAGCAAAAATCAGTGCAAGGGCTAAGTGTCAATGGAAGTTCTCCTGACTTGAATTGTTGTGACTTTTTCTTTTGGAGTATCTGTGCTCACAATTCCTCCACCAGATATTGCAAAACCTCGAGAAAGAATTGCCCATGGGCTGCTTTCTCTGCTTTGACCCACAGATGACTCAGGGCTGAACCATGCATGACGTGGACAGATGAGCGCATCTATATGTGCAAGGAAGTGGTGGTTTCTAAATAGCAGAAAAATCAATGAAATGTCGTGCTGCCATCTTTTATTCAGCTTTTAACTTGGGCTAGAGTTCCATTCACTTACATGCTAAAATCTTGGAAAAGTGGCTTAATTTCATGATTTATCAAAGTGTGTTAGTTGAATCTGTATAAAACTTGAATGATATACCACATGATGACCCTGTTTATGTACATGTTGGGATTAAACATGAAAATGTTGATTGACATACAAATAATCCACGGTTTTAAAGAATTTTAGTATTGCATCTATGGACATTTGGCCCAAGTTTTTTTTAATTGTCATAGAAAAATTTTCAAATTACATAACTGTGTAAATCAAAGCTATTACAGGAGAAAATATTTCACTGAATTCAGATATGCCATTTAAACGAAGGTAATGTAGGTTATTAAAGGTCTACTATGCAAGTCTCTTAAAATATCACGAAAAACGAGATTTAATGAGATTTCAAAAGCTATATGGAAACTATACTATTTGGAGGGGTATAGGATGTATTCTTGCAAGAGTATGAGTATGAACAGCCTTTGCTGTCTATGCCACACCTGTAACACCTTCTTCCAATAGCCCCTATGCCCATTGTACTGACTTTTGCAATGTTTAAAACTTGGGTTCGAGCTGAATTTTGCCCCACTTTGCAAAATTAATGATTATTCGGACAGCCATGACTCCCTGTGAATGAATGATATTCCATTGCAAAGAGGAGTTATTTGGCTTTTTGGTACATTGAATGAAAAGGATGCGGTCAGCATTGGTTTTATGTTTTCTTCCAATATTGCATCGGGCTCCATACACTGACTTCTGCGATGTTTATAACTTGGTCCCAAGTTCATTTTGGCCCACTATGCAAATGGAATGATTACTTGCCCAATCATGACTAAATATCAATGAATGATATATCATTGTGAAGAGGAGACACGTGGTTTTATGGTACATTGAATGAAATCAATGCTGTTATCACTGGTTTTGCACCTTTCCGAGATAATAATCTGTTGCGTTTTTTATACGCACTGTATGCATTCAATCACATTCATATTTCCAGGGATTATGTATCTATATATATAATTAGTTGCTATGACAAGTTTGATCATGATTGGTCAAGTAGTTGCCATAACGACACAACTTAAGTGCGAACAATTGTATATATTTTGGATAAATCCACTAAATCTTTAAAAGGTAAATGACAAGGTAAAAAGGGTATAACAGGTCAATAAACGATTCAGTTCACTGACTGAACTTTTTTTTGTTACAAATAATGTCAAATCTGCTTTCTTTTGTTTGTACTACATTTATGGTATCATGATTTGTGATCTCCTTTGTTAATTACCTGCAGAGTATACTAGTTAGTGATCTTCCCATTATTCCCACATTGTTATAACTTTTAGTCACATGATCAAAAAGCGGGCTTATTTTTCCTCATATTGCACTTATTACAATGTGGCACTGGATATCTCCAAAGTTGAAAAATGGAATGAAATGGACACCAGTGAAAAATTGAGGAAGATATAGAGGTTCTTGTATGAGTACCTGTGCAAGATCGTCCATTCTTGATGAGCTTTGATAATTCCTCTTTATCGAGTCGAAGACGAGATAAAGAAATATTATCAAAGCGAGTCAAGAATGGACGATCTTGCACAGGTACGAGTACTAGAAAGTTTTTCTCGAATGACTCTCTAAATTATGCCATATTTTCACCTTTTTATGATAAAACTGAGTGAAAATAGCTTCAAATTAATGGAACTTCGCCTTTCAATTGTTATGACGATTCGGCCTTGTCTTTCAATTTTGGGTTAATGAGGCTAATGAGGAGTGTGTAGCACTAAATGGAACTTTTGTAGAGGGCCCTGTAAAATGAAGGTGGCATGAATGCCACAAAGTGATGACAAAATATTCAAAATCAATTATGGCGTATCGAAATGGTGGAATTCATAACCATCATGGTTCATTTTGTTCAACTTGCATTAAACTGCATTCCACGTTAAATGAGCTATATAAGTGACTTCAGAATGTGTGACGTTATGTCGGTCCCGGGGTACCTATACCTCCTTCACAGAAATAAAGATATATCAAAATATGTTACATGCTTTGTCTCCAAATCTTCAGAGTTGATAGAAAATTGAATGATGTATCACTGGTGAAAAAATTAAAGAGATTGGTCTATAAAAAGCATTTATGTAAAAAAGCGTCCATTACTTATTGATCACCCCTCGTATTGAAATGGCTGTACAAATTAATGCCGCAAAGTACACAAATTGCATCTGGCAGATTTGAATTCAGGACACCCTATACATACAGAAAAGTTACAAATATAGTAAGCATCCAAAATTTCCATCATTCTTGAAAATATGGCAATATATATTGCGGGGCTATAAGTCATTATCTCTTCAAAATACATGTTTTATAATATTTTAAACAATAAAAGTTAGCAAATTCTTTATACAATTACATTACAATGTTTTTCATATATCAAAATGTAAATTACGCCGTACAGAGAGCGCAAGGCGAGCGTAGCTCTTCTACGCTCGCCGCAGAAATTCACTGATTTAATTGATCTGCGGTCGACGCACGGCCTCCATACGACAAATGTGACTGGGGTGTTAATCTGTGGATTGCTTCTTGAATTCTGACCTACTACGTCACTCATTATATATATTTCATTAAAAAATGTTGAGAATTGAGTTTTTTTTGATAATGAGATGGATGGCTAGTTCTGCCCTGGCTTACCAAAATGCTTAAGCTATACAGACTTGTCTCAGTATTAAATTGTTAATAAAATGTAAATGTATTTATTTCAGATTCTTGAAGAATGGCGAAAACATCACAAATTGTGTTCGTGAGAAGACTGGTTGCGTCCCGAATACCGTGCCAGAGTTCACTACAATCCAAACAGCAGCGAAAACAGCGGGTCTCCTAAATAAGTGTAGTTCCGGTAAAACTTTACGAAAAATACATAGAATTGTTTTTCTTGACGGTTCTTTAAACTATGACTTATACCTAATGCAGCATTAAACACATTTGCATTGGTATTGATTGGACTCGTTTAAAGGCCACCACGTGCGTGATAAATTGAACGATTTCACAAAATGAATAAGCAAGCATCTGAATTAAATGTGTGCTCTTTTATTCAATGATATTTTTGAGCAGAGAATCGCATGTGATATCTGGTAAGAGTAATGTTCGTTCTTATTGTACTAGCAGCTTTAAAGGATTGGTATCGATATGATGAATTGAATTCATTAATTATTGAAAACATTCTGTAAAAACACGGTCCTTTATGAAATGATGACTGATTGACAAGAATTCAATGCGGAAATTATTTATATATCATTTATACAACTGTTTTTTTGTTAACATTTTTTGTTTTTTTAGTGCAATCGTTTTTTGTTTCTTTCTATGACAGAGTATCCATCGTCGGTTGGAAAGTGCATAACTCCGTGCATATGGACGCTCTCGGCATGAAACAAATAGGAAAACGTACGAAGCTGAGAGACCGTCCTTTCATCCAGGTTTCGGTGATTAGGGTTAGGGTTAGTTGGTTAGGGTTAGGGTTATTTCCCTCAATGGCAGGCAATATTGGTAAAGTATTGAATACTTCTACATTTTATCAAAAATATCATCTTTACTTCAAAAATCGAATGCTTCTTTCTGACAGTAAAGAAAATTTTTAGGATTCGTTAAAACGGCATTTACAATATTGATCCGCCTACCCAAAACTTGAATTTCCATAGTAACCATATTTTTCTCCACAAAGCTGGATACTTAATAAAACTATATATATTCTCAGGACTTGTTAATGATCGTCCAGCTACTCGACAAATGACGGTAGAGTTCGACGGCCCGAGGCACCCGTCTAGGCCACTGTATCCTTCGCGGCTATATTTGGTCGGCTAGCACGGTCTCTCAGCTTCGTACGTTTTCCTATTTGTTTCATGCCGAGAGCGTCCATATGCACGGAGTTATGCACTTTCCAAGCGACGATGGATACTCTGTCATATGACTTGCGGCAAACTTCAATTTCACAGTGATTTGCATGTGAATGTTGATTTCAAAATTTGTCATCAATTTCTGACCTATTGTACTTGTTGCAAGAAAGTAGTTTTCTGAACAGATTATTCAAATAAAAATTCAAACATAAAATGACTTTAACATGTAATCAATTGGGTGATTTAAGATTACCGAACTTATGGAGGGGAGTGTATGCCCCTGGGTACACTAAAGATTGATGCAATGCCTTCTAAGGTAATACTGATTTGATTTTCAGGTGTCTCATTGGAGCCATTGGTGATGGTCATTCTCCTGTCAACGATGGGTGCCCTCTACAATATAATGAAACATTAGAACATTCTCTGCAACCTAACGAACGAGCGAGTGCAAAGCGTTCTCTGCAACATGTTTCATTTGAACGTTTTTACAATGTATGAACTACTATTTAGAGCAATCTCTAATTTACAATTAACTTTAGTTTTAAACGTTATTAACCATCGATTGTGTTCTCTTCTTAGACATTATCAACCATTAGAGTATTTCCACTAAAACATTAGCAACCAGAGCATTAAATAATATCAAAAGTAATGTTGGAGTATTTTCCCGAGAAGATTAGCAATAAGAGTGGCATATTTAAACATTATCAACCATTGAAGCATTCTTTACTAAATATTAGCAATCAGATGATTCAAAGAGCTGCGCGTGACATTTAGAGACGAACCAATCTCTGTTTGCAGAGAAATTGTGGCCATGCGGAGAGGCATGGAAAGTTACTAGTATCTGTCATGAGTAAGCTTTATATACTAGTGTAAAATATAGTGATAAATATTTTCATTCGTATTTTTCCATATTTTATAGGACTCAAAACGTTAATGTAAGCATATTTATAGCCTTGCCCCAAGTCGGTATTTTTTACTTTATCTGATCTTGAATTATTACCGCCTTGTGTAATCCGATATATCTCCACTGTTATTATGATAAATTATGCACCAACTAGTACGCGTGCCCTATAGCATTAGCCAATAGCGGTAGTCATACACAAAAATCAATAAATAAATCCACGTGTTCGCCATGCGGTTGTGAAGTTATATGCGGCATGCATGCAGTCTGCAAATCCAGGTATCTCCCTTACAAATAAAACGCATTCACCAGAAACATAATAACTTTTCATTATCCTTTTTACAGCATAACTATAAGTGTTTATATGTGAACTGATCAGTCATCAACTTTCTGATATTAAATCGGTTCACTACATTCAAATTACTTTCAATTATATTTGGCAAATAAAACGATTATCGATTTTGCGAGGGTCATTTTCAGTTTTGCTAGCTGATGAAAGTAAAGCGAGGTAGGACTTCCCACAATGCCACTATCAAAGGTTCCGATACTAACTTGCTGATTGGAGCAAAATCAACAACTGTATTACCTCGTGTGTTTGTAACCTAAATTTAGACATTGAAAGATCGCGTGCTATTGGTCAAAATCACCGACATAAACAAACTGTCGGTAAAGCACGTGGCTTTCTCTTTGGTACAAGGCGGTCATAATAGAAATCAAGATAAGTAAAAGAGACCGACTTGGAGCAAGGCTAGCATATTTACAATAAATTGGTTTATCATTGTATCAAACATAATTATAATTTCAATGTAATTTATAGTGGTTTATTAACGTAATTATATAAATGCGCTCATGTAATTTAAAAAATTCATACCTATCATCGCCAAGAGTAAACAAGAAATAATTTCAGCTGAAGCCACAGTAAGTCAATACAAGAACATAAGGGCCCTTATTGATAATTGACCCCTGACGATGACAGTCTATATCTCAAAACGTATTGAGAAAAACTAAAATAATTTTAGCATATTTCATTCGTATATTACAATTCAACGATTCATTGATACCATTTACATCACAAATATTGAAAAAATAATTCAAAATGTCATGATTTTTCGGTCGTACTAGAGGGGGGCCCCCACTAGAAGAATTGCCTTATTTCGTGGCTTTGATCATGCAATCAAGTTAAAAAGTCGCTTGAAATCACCCTACATCCGCGAATGATGTTTCTAAACGAAAATGTTACAAGCCGCTACACGAACCAACTCCATGTTCCAAGAACCGACCAGGTCAGGACATTCCACAGGCGTTCTTCGCCCTTACGTGTTGGAGCCGCTGCAAGCATAATTCGCTGAGTTTGCCGTCAGTGGATTCGACCCTGTCACGCGAGTGAATAACTCCGTAAATACGCTCTCGGCATAAAAACATAGGAAAACGAAGCTAAGAGACCGTGCTAGCCGACCAGGTATAGCGCCGAAGAATACAGTGGCCTAAGCGGGAGGCCTGGGGCGGTCAAGTTATACTGTCAATTGCATGAATTAGGGTTAGGGTAAGGATTAGGGCCCAACTACTACGAACGTGGCCGGTTAGGGTTAGGGTTAGGGTTAGGGTATAACCCTGAAGAAAGGTGATTTGAATCCTTTATTTACCCGCAGACTGTCTATCTTATTCAATTGCAACATTTGTTTGCAATTTAGGCAGAAGAACACTTTGCTCCCGTCTTTCGTCCTCCCTCTTAGAGGCGAAGCTAGAGAGCAGTGTCCTCCCTCTTCGATGCTCTGAGCTAGAGGCTCTGAGCTAGAGGCGAAGCTAGAGAGCAGAAGCATTAGCCTTAGATAGCACCTTCAGACTAGTTTCCACGGTGTCGGCTTAGTGTTGCAGGGTAAACGGCTCGAACGAAACGAGATTCCACACGGCGCATATATTATAGGGCAGATGCTAATCTCGTCGAGATTTTAATCGAACTCTTTGGCCCCAAAAGCCTTCGCTTTATTTTTAAGACTTTCTAGAGGCGAGACGACCAGGGTAAGTCCCGGACGCCGGACGAAGCTCGCTTGGGGGCGGGCTAGCGACCCAGCGTTGGCAGTATCACGAGCGAGCGAGCGAACGATGTCGTGTCGCCCCGTCTCTGTCCAAGAGCGCATACCGCCGGCCGACGGCGATCTCGCTGACCATCAAGGTAGTGACGCTGCATTCACTCAGACCGTCAAGCCCTTGGAACGAGACCCACTCGAAGGTCGGGCTCGCCGCTAGATCACAGCTGTTATCTCCGTTCGTCCCCAACGGAAAGCCATCGGCGAAGCTGGACGCTGCCCATCCACCGCTAAAGCGAGCAAGCTAGCGAGCCAGCTCCGCAGTAGATACCTCGGCGCCACGACCTCGGCGCTAGATGATGTCGTGTCGATCTGTGTCTCCGTCTCCAAGCCCAGCTCGGCTCGGTTGGCTCGCACGGGGCCCGCCTTTAACCTATTCAGAGGCGGCACCGCTCGGGGTGCTCTTATTCACTTTTCCCAAAATAGCAAAAGAGGGTAGACGCCTCTAGCCCAGAGCATCGAAGAGGGAGGACGAAAGACGATAGACAGGGAAGCAAAGTGTTCTTTTGCTTAGATTGCAAAGGAAATGTCTCATCCACAAGAGTTTTTCTCTCCTACTCATACAAACTTTAATGAGTAGGCCACAGACAGACGACCCCCGTTCTAATGGGTCTTGCCCTAAGCTCTATATATACGAGCAAGAGTTCAGACTTGTTTCTAAGGTGTCGGTTTAGTGTTGCAGGTTAAACGGCTCGAGCAAGACGAGATTTCACAAAGCACGTATATCATAAGGCAGATGCTAAGCTTCTCGAGAGTTTAGTGGACCAGTTTGGCCCCCAAAGCCTTCGCTTTATTTTTAAGACTTTCTAGAGGCGAAAAGACGAGGCGGTAAGTCCCTGACGCTGGACGATGCGAGCGATACCTCGCACGGGGCCCGCCTTTCACCTATGCAGAGGCGGCACCGCTCGGGGTGCCTCCAAGCCACGCCAGGCCACGCTATCGCTGAATCCCTCGGGACGGTAGAGGAGAGACCACTGCGCCCGTCGTTCAGCACCCGACCTTGCGCTCAACTCGCCGCGGCGCCCTTAGTGCAAGGAACGCTACATTCACTCAGCCCACGCGCCACACCGGACGCTGGACGATGCGAGCGATACCTCGGCGCTACGCCCTCGCTGGTAGACGATGCCTTGCTGATCTGTGTCAGTCTCAGAGCTGCTCACCCGGCTTGGCTCGCACGAGGCGGGCTAGCGAGCGAGCCAGCGTTGGCGGTATCACGAGCGTGCGAGCGGACGATGTCGTGCCGCCCCGCTGTCTCCGTCCAAGAGCGCGTACCGCCGGCCGTCGGCGAACTCGGTGAGGTAGTGACCCTGCATTCACTCTGACCGCCGAGTGGGCACGCGACTCCATTCACCCAGACCGTCAAGCTTTCGGAACGGGACCGACTCGAAGGTAGCCGCTAGATGACAGCTGTTATCTCCGAACTGCTTGCCCGGAACATGGTTCAAGTAACAGACGTCAGGTGTCAGCACCTGACGGTGCAATTTTATTATCACGCCGGCAGGTGCTGCCATCTAGGGACGAAACCGCGCACTAAGCTAGCCGCAGCGCTGGACGCTGCCCTTCCCCCGCCACGCCAGGCTGAATCCCTCGGGACGGGAAAGACCGCAGCGCCCATCGTTCAGCGCCTATCGACCCGACCTGCATCGCCAACCAGCGCCGGGCACTCGCTCGCTCAAGGTCCGTCGAGGGGACGGGAAGCCATCGCCAATGCTTGCCTGTCTTTGGCTGCGAGCCGCTATGCCTTCACGCGCGCGGCGCTCAACTCGCCGCGGCGCCCTTAGTGGAACGAACGCTACATTCACTCAGCCCTTCCCCCGCCACGCCAGGCTGAATCCCTCGGGACGGGAAAGACCGCAGCGCCCATCGTTCAGCGCCTATCGACCCGACCTGCATCGCCAACCAGCGCCGGGCACTCGCTCGCTCAAGGTCCGTCGAAGCGGACGGGAAGCCATCGCCAATGCTTGCCTGTCTTTGGCTGCGAGCCGCTATGCCTCCACGCGCGCGGCGCTCAACTCGCCGCGGCGCCCTTAGTGGAACGAACGCTTCATTCACTCAGCCCTTCCCCTGCCACGCCAGGCTGAATCCCTCGGGACGGGAAAGACCGCAGCGCCCATCGTTCAGCGCCTATCGACCCGACCTGCATCGCCAACCAGCGCCGGGCACTCGTTCGCTCAAGGTCCGTCGAAGCGGACGGGAAGCCATCGCCAATGCTTGCCTGTCTTTGGCTGCGAGCCGCTATGTCTCCACGCGCGCGGCGCTCAACTCGCCGCGGCGCCCTTAGTGGAACGAACGCTACATTCACTCAGCCCTTCCCCCGCCACGCCAGGCTGAATCCCTCGGGACGGGAAAGACCGCAGCGCCCATCGTTCAGCGCCTATCGACCCGACCTGCATCGCCAACCAGCGCCGGGCACTCGCTCGCTCAAGGTCCGTCGAAGCGGACGGGAAGCCATCGCCAATGCTTGACTGTCTTTGGCTGCGAGCCGCTATGCCTCCACGCGCGCGGCGCTCAACTCGCCGCGGCGCCCTTAGTGGAACGAACGCTACATTCACTCAGCCCACGCGCAACACTGCTTCGCCGCTATGCCTCCACGCGCGCGGCGCTCAACTCGCCGCGGCGCCCTTAGTGGAACGAACGCTACATTCACTCAGCCCACGCGCAACACTGCTTCGCCGCTATGCCTCCACGCGCGCGGCGCTCAACTCGCCGCGGCGCCCTTAGTGGAACGAACGCTACATTCACTCAGCCCAAGCGCAACACTGCTTCGCCGCTAGAACGGGACCGCCGAAGAGCAAGTCCAAAAAAGACTAAGTCCAAAGCTGAAGGGCATC